TCAAACACGAAAAGTTTTACAAACATTAAAGAAGTATCTTAAGTTTCCCATGGCTTCCATTGCAAGGCACAGATATCTCATGAAACGTACCCATGAAAATGTGTCGATGCTGGCTGTTTCATGCTTTCCTGTCAGTCTTCTCTCATTTCCTTCACCATAAGCACTAATATGCTCCTTGTGGCGAAGCGACAAATTCAGAATCGCTTTCTTTATAACTTCAAAGCCTCCTTCTTCCCTCATGCTCTTCGTACTGCGTTAAGAAATCCGTTTCGTTGTTATTCAAAGTGCTACTATTTAAATTTACCAAAGGCATATAACTCCCAAAGGTGCAAATGAAACATAGAAAAGTCAGGAGTAAGACCTGTAATTTGTATGGCATCCAGCACCATTCCAATCACCCTAGCAATAGGAAAACGAATTGAGCAAACCCTCTGATGGACTAATAGTCAGAATAGAATGTTGCGTAATGTTACATTACCTCAATTGGCTTAGGATCAAGAGAGAGAACAACGCCAGCTTGTTCAGTGATTCTCTATGAGAATAGAGGAAACTATTGGTAAGTAATCGTACTAATTGACATATATGTAAAGATGATCAATGTTAGAACTGTTTTCCTCCGCTTGAATTTGTTTAAACCAAGCCATGTTTATTTTTGACTTTATGCATAGATGCTGCAAAGGTCGGAATTTTGTAGTGGTATCTCTATAAGACTAACGAGATCATATGGAGAAGAAATACCTCAAGAATGTAACGAGAACCCCAGATATGATCTCCAGCTTCGATACCAACACTTGGACCAACTTGGTACTCCCACTGGATAGTTATTCACAGAATCAAAATGGTGATAACTAATGAACACACAAGCATGAATGCAACAGTACTTCATTTTCATTAGCAAGATGAGAAGGATTCAAAGTAAGCAGACCTGGCCGGGCATAACCTCCCCATTGGTGCCACTGATGTTAATGCCGGCATATAAGCAAGCTTTGTAATGAGCATCCGAGATGTCACGCCCGAATGACTTGTCAGCTCCAGCTCCACAGTAATAAGGACCCTGAATTTGGCACCAAACAACCATGCTAATGTATAAGTTCATGTAGGACTATATTACTAACATGTACAGACCTCTACAAGTCAAATTATTACCTGCGGACCAGGGTAGCCTCCAACAGGCCAACCTAAAGGCCATTTCACGTTTTGTTGAAGTAAAGTGTACTCTTGCTCAATCCCAAACCTAATCAGAAAGGTATAGCAACACGAGGGCATTTCCTTTTGTATGAATGCCGAGATAGGATGAAAGCAAATACAAGCTTGCGATATAAATCTCAAACAATCCGAATTTAAACAAAAGAAGATGGTTGAAATAATGTGATTCTACCATGGTACTTCATCAACCACCTTCTTGTTACTGAAAATCTCAGCAGCTCTGGCACGCTTGTTTGTGGGAATGGGCTCACCAGCTGGTGTGTACGCATCACAAATTACCTTTTTGAAGCACATACGAAAATGTTAACCACGCTATATAATTTACTTACAAAACTTTCAACAATTAGAAAGAAAATTTTTGATCGCATGCCTTCAATAATACTCACCAAGATATTGTTACCTCCTCGGAAAGGGTCCTTAAAGATCGCTTGAGGGCTGATGAAGTTTTCAGTCAAAATGGTGTTTTGATGATTACAAGCAATAAAGAAAGTTTTAGATTTCTTTTAAAAGGGATTACTGTAAAATAACTTCACTATCGTCACCAGGTGCTTGTCCGGTACTTGATCCATCGTAGTTCCACTTGGGAAGCTCAGAGGGATGTTCCACTGGCTTTGATATTGTCTGCAAATAGTAAGAAGGCCCAAAGAAACATAAGGAAAAAAAAAACGAAATACCGGATTGAAACTTACACAGTTTTAGTTCTGATATTTTTCTTACCCTGGACTTGCTACGCATATCGATTCCACTGCCTCCTATCCTGTTTCAGTGCAGAAACAGCAGTGATTAAGGTGCAAGGAAAATAGCCATCTTAAATCTATATTTGAATATTGATTTAATAATCCTTATCTATTTGTCCGAAGTACCTTGTTTGACACATATTCTATCTGAAACATAGATAAATGTGTTAGAAAGATGATGTACCAAATATATTCAGCAATGATCTTGTCAGTGTATGGAGAGACGTCCATGTTCAGTAGCTTCTCTAGCCTGTTGACAGTGCTGTTCTCGGACAAGGCAAGCACTCTAAATTTTCCAGAGCTTTTAGCTGCTCCTTTCCTGTTCTTTTTCAATACCAGAGGACTCCTCATTTTCGTGGCGACCGGACTTCCAAAGGTCGAGGTCTTCAGTAGTCTCATTTGCCATTGAGTCGAAGGTGCTAAAATCTGTGCCATTTCCCCCTTCTCCCAACTGAGAGAAATCAAACAAGTATAAAAATCAACTTAAACAACAACATATCCAACAAAAAAAAAACATAGAATCAAAGTTTTAATACAGATTATGCAAGAAGAAAAGGCCTTATTCTCTACAGTATAAGGTTTATACTAATTAATCAAAAATAAAAAAATAAGGTTTATACTAACTTTCCACCAATATGGTATACAAATATATATTAAGGTTTATACAAAATCACAAAGGATAAAAATGAATAAATCTCGGGTTTAACCCGATCGGTTTATGTTGTCACCATTAATAGGTGACATTCAACAAGTGTAGAGTTCAAACCATCTTCAACATATTCTCCTATTCCTAGATCCTTTATACCAAAAGGAAAGGGTAATGAAATGAACAATGGTAAGTGGTAAGTACATAAAATACCATTTTCTTTGCCTGTGCAACTCATGGTCAGATTAAATCTTGGACCACAAAAACAAATACAACATTGTTTAGCAAAAAAGTAGTAGAAATCCATATCCACTAATCTTCAGCTAAGTGGACCATGTGCAAAGCCTTAATGGATAGGGACTAGACCTAGTGATTTTTGCTCTCTCCTAGATGAGGGAGCTGCTGGTCCAAGGCTCGAAACTCCAACCACTGATCGTTTATCAGTAAGAAAACTTTGGCAATAACTAGTGGGGGGGGACCAGCCAAATAACTCTCATTTCAATGAACAAAAGGTCACAAGGGAAAACACTTTTGTTCAGTTGGTTCAAGTTCCAACTATTCTGGGTTCAAATTAAACACAAGAGAAACAAAGAATCTAGAGAGATCTGAAAGTCAACCTATAATGTGACTTTGATAAACACCAACTCACATTATATGGTTCATGTATAAGTGAAAAAGGTAGTGATTACAGCATGATCATGTTGTCATAAAAGGTGCATAATGTGAAGCACAAAGATCTCAAGCCATCAAGAGTCAAAAAAATCAAATAACACTGAGATAAAGAGAGAACTGACCTGGGAAGTGCCTGGAAAATGGTCTGTCAAGGAACCAGAAAAGTGGGTGTTGCTGGGATTGGCTGTACAAGGAGAAGAAAAGAAGAAAGAAATAAAGAAAGAAGGGAGACAATAAGGGAGAGAGAGAAAGAGGAGTGGAACTGAAATTTTAAGTGTAAAAAAGAAGTTAAAAAAAGAGAGGTTGATAAATGATAGAGAAAAGGAGTTGTCTCTGGCTTTTGATGAACATATAGGGATATGCTATGAGTGGAGGAAATTGGTTTCTGGTCTCTTTGGTGCCACCAAGGGGAAAGCTTTGGCTATACATCTAAATTTTTTTAGATAAAAATATGCAGAGCTTATCTCATTCACGTATTAGAAAATTACTACAATTTGACTCTTGAATAAATAATACTCATTTTTTTTGGTAAAATAAAAAAATTAATATTTTTTCAAAATAAAACTACATAATTAATAAGTTGACAACTATCTTATAATGTGGGCAATTTTTTTATATAATAAGGTTATTTTTTAATTAAATTTGTATTTAATTGTCTAATTATTCATACAATTTTATTTTAATCACTTAAATATTTTTAAAAATTTATAACTAATATTATATTTTAATTTCATTTTAGTCACCAATCGTTAAAAAATAAAACTGTTGACGTGATGTTTTTTATTTTTTAACAATGACATGACATTATCTTAAGATGATGCATCAACATAACGTTAATTTTTTAACGATGAGTGACTTAAATAAAACTAAAATGTAATGTTATGTATGATTTAAAAAAAATAATCGAGTGACCAAAATGAAACATCATACATAATTGGGTGAGTAAATATTTATTAGCACATTTGTTCAATTGGTCAAGTTGTTCATCTTTATTCCATCGTAGTCCCTTAGATCATAGATTCTAGACCCATTAGGAGCGCTCCTCGTTATTTTCTCTAAAGTCCCTCTTCCCCTCCCCTATGTATACTTACGTTTTTCATTATAATAAAATGTAGGGTAAACTACTTGTTTAATACATAAATCATCACTTTTGTTCTATTTTGTTCATTTAAGTATATTTTTTTTCAAAATCATTCATAATGTTACATTTTAATTTCATTTTAGTCACCGTCATTAAAAAATTAATAGAACTGTTGAACACTGTATTCTTTAAATTTTCTCTAATGATGATGTGACATTACCTTATGATGACACGTCAAAATCAAAGTTAATTTTTTAATGGTGAGTGACCAAAATGAAATCAAAACATAATATTAAGTATATTTTAAAACAAAAAATAATTAAGTAACCAAAACATAATAAAAATGATAGTTAGGATACTAAATTCTGGAATATACTTCGATTCAACTCACAAATACTTCTAGTATTGGTCTTGGTCATGAATAATTAATGGATTGCAATGCGAGTTTGGTCATTTTGGGGCATTGGACTCTTTGGATGACAATGATGAAGGCCTACTATCCTTAACCCCGAAGAAACCAATTCCAAAAACAAAAGAACCAAGCTTGATTTTCCCTTTGGGAAATTCACAAAGAAACTTCAGGCAATCTTCCTTGCTTGCATTATTTAAAAGTGGGTGCCATTTTGCATCCATTTGGAAATATAAAGGTTTCAACTTTGCCGTCGCTATTTGATCAAAAGTCAAAAGAAGCCTTCTCGAAGTTTCTTGATTTCCCCCAATTGATTTCCCAATCTGCAAAATTTATTAATCTTTGTCTCTTAATTCGCTCCCGATTTTCTGTATTTCACCATTCTTTTTAAAATTTCATCCGTCGCCATTTTTGGTTCTTGGTATTTTGTTTTGATTTCGAAGTTCTCCCGACTTAGGGCTCTTAAGTTCTGATCCGAATTCACAAACATTCGATCGATAAAACTCTTTCGGTCCCTGCCCGTTTCAATTCGTATCCAAAGAAGAAATACCTGTTCTGCGATTTCTAAAAGAAAGAAGGTTCGCACTTTGAAAATCTCGATTGCCCTTTGTAAAATCCCTTTTCTGATTCTAATTCCCAATTCAACCCAGAAGAATTGTGGAGATTCACCAATTACCCGTCTTGCTTTCGTTTTCAATAAATAATAATAATACCCAGATAATCAAGATCCCGAATTTAGCCTGCCACACGTAATGGGCACAATTGGATTTCACAAAGAACCTCCAAAACCCTCAACTTCTTCCCCTGTTCCTTCTTCAACCTCCTCGACGTCTCGAACTGACACCGTGAACGGGTCCCATGAATTCAAAATCAAGGGATACTCCCTTGCCAAAGGCATGGGAGTGGGCAAATACATAGCTTCGGATACATTTATGGTGGGGGGCTATGAATGGGCAATTTATCTTTACCCGGATGGAAAGAGCGCCGAAGATAATGCTTCGTACGTTTCGCTTTTTATTGCTTTGGCAAGTGAAGGAACGGATGTAAGAGCCATTTTTGAGTTGACACTTCTGGACCAGAGTGGGAACGATCGTCACAAGGTGCATAGCCATTTTGGCAGGATACTTGAGAGCGGGCCTTATACCCTTAAGTATCGTGGGAGCATGTGGTGAGTCCGTTTGTGATGTTCTTTGCATTGTAAAACTAATATTATAGCCTTTTTCTTTGATTAGTTTCTGCCTTGATAGTTAGATTTGAGACTGGAAAATTTGATGTAGATATATCTATAAGGTGAATAATGTGAATTTGATGTCAGTTGTATTCCCTTATAGTCTTGAGAAATCTAATGAGTTATTAGGGAAGAGCACTACTTTTTACTGTGAAAGTACTTCAATTTTTTTATTAGTGCATTCGCCCCTTAATGGTCTGATTTCTGACTTTTTTACAATGTGAAATTATGTGGAACTCTTTGCTGAACCAATCAAAGATTTATAAACAAACTGTTGTTTGCTACCTTGCTATAATGGTCTATTGCTGTAACTCGCTCATTTAGATTGGTGGTTTTTTTGCTTTTTGTGTAAAAGCATCATTAAATGGCTGTCATTTTTGCAGGGGTTATAAACGCTTTTTCAAAAGAACGCTCCTCGACACATCAGACTACCTTAAAGATGATTGCCTCTCAATTCGCTGTTGTGTTGGTGTAGTTAAGTCACATACAGAGGGACCCAAACTATATTCTATTTCATTGCCACCTTCTGATCTTAGTCAGCATTTGGGGAAGCTACTAGAAAGTGGAAAGGGAACTGATGTGAAATTTGAAGTTGACGGGGAAATATTTGATGCCCACAAGTTGGTCCTTGCAGCTCGTTCACCTGTATTCGGGGCACAACTTTTTGGCCCATTGAAGGATCAGAACACGCAGTGCATTAGAGTAGAAGATATGGAAGCTCCTGTTTTCAAGGTTCTCCACTTTTGATCTAATCTCATTTAGTATTTTTCCTTCCATTCCCGGTCCTTGTCTATTGGGCAAGCTTATCATATTGATGAAGACTAGATTAGGTTTTAACAATACATAGCATAAGATTTTATCTATGCCGAAGCTCTGATTAGTTCTGTTCCTTGTTTATGTACACTTTTCTTTCCTTATATTTTAAGTATTTGGAATTAAGAACATCAATTAGGTTACTGTTCTCTTTCCCTAGCTCTTTTGGTAGCTCTGAGGTGTTCATAGATATAAATTTGAATGAAACGAAGGATATGAGTGGTATCAGCGCATAAGAAGCAACAAAAAAATGAAGACTTTTGCAAGTTTTTTCCTCTGAGCACGTTTTGCTGTATTTCATCAAGTGTTCTATAGTTATTGGAAAATTTACGTATAGATGGCATGGTGGAAGCTCATACAAATGCTACTTGGCTTATTAGAGTGTTACTTAATTTTTAGTTTCAATTACTAGTGAGTTCCTACATTCCGATAGACTTATACATAGAACTTAAGCTTCAGAATCGTCATTTTCTCTAGTGCAAGCAAGCTGGATGGTAATAGGTAACGAGAAATAAAAGGTTATTTTCACTGGGGTATATAATTTAATATGAACTTCACTAGAGCAATGGATTTATTGTATTTCAATTCTGGTTTAGGGATGAGTGTGAAATTTGGCTTTCTGTTGCCATATCACAAATCCCATAGTTTATTAAATGGTTAACTTATTTTACAACTAGAAGCACAAATTATTGTGATTAGGAGAAGAACATGATGATCGTACTTCCTTAAAGCTGTTGTCTCTTAGGAACCTATAATTGTCTTCATCATGAACTTTTTTTTTTGGATGGTATGGCAAGGTTCACAGGAAGAGGTAGCTTTGTTGGTTCTTTCTGTTAGTTGAGTAATTGTGGTGCCATACAGGATGGCTTATACAGGAGTGTACATCGGGATTCCTCTCCTAAGGCGCTGCTTCTGTAAATTATTCTTCCTAACCTCGGTTAAGTGTCTTCTTTTGCTTCCTTTCTAATTGCCTCTTCCTTTTGCACTACCTATTGAGCTAGTGGAATAATACAAGTGTAGTTTCAACTGACATGGATTTGATAATCATATACTCTAAAATGCTTTGACGAAATTTCTGAGCTGTCTGCAGAAGTGCTTCTGCTAGATGCATTGAGGATCCAGCTTTTGGATGAGTAAATCCAGCCGTTTACTTGTGACATCAGGCATTGGATGTCCCAAGTGTTAGATATCCCCTTCATGTTAATACCTATTTTATTTTCTAAATGTTGCTTAATGTGCATGGCAGTGGATAAAATGTAATAAAACATGTCTTAGTAACTATGAGACTTGATACAGATGACATCATGGCTTCATTTTACTTCGGCCAACATGGAGTTGGAATGTGGAAGTTGATAGCAGGTCCATGCTATGAGATTCTTGGTCCTGCATTGCTCTTGCCTTGTCAAGAACCAATATTTTAACCTCTCTTTCTCTTTTCCTTATTTCTTGATTAAGCAAATTAACTAGCACTGTCTGTTTTAAATTTTCCTAGGCATAACTAAAACTTGCCGAATCTTGTGAGGATTCCCAAGGTGACTTGGTAAGTGATCTTGAATATATATATATATTCTTATCACTATGGTTGGATATTTGCAGGCATTGCTCCATTTCATTTACTGGGATAACTTACCAGACATGCATGAGCTAGTGGGTTCAACTTCTAAATGGGCTTCTACACTTGTTGCTCAGCATCTGCTTGCCGCTGCTGACCGTTATGCGCTTGAGAGAATGAGATTGTTCTGCGAGGCTAAACTTTGTGAGGGTGTTGCAATAAACACAGTTGCAACTACATTAGCTTTGGCAGAACATCACAACTGTTTGCATTTGAAAGCTATATGCTTAAAATTCGTTGCATTGCCGGAAAATTTGAAAGGTAGGGACCGAAAACCAATTCTATTTTAGATTCACTAGTGTAGGCTTAGAGAATGTATAAATTTTTCTTTCTACTTTTCTATTCTCTTTTCATCCTTTCACTTTTTCTATCAAAAGCATATGCAAGAGGAGAATTCATTGTTACTGATAGAGTTTCTCTCTAAATGAGGAATCCCTTTTAATTTATTTTTATATTCTTTTAGAGATTGTGTAGAATGACAAAGTTGTTGCACTGGTTTCAGCTGTGATGCAAACAGATGGATTTGAGTATCTGAAGGAAAGCTGCCCGGGTGTTCTTACTGAATTGCTGCAATATGTTGCGAGAATCGGAGAGCATTCTGTTATTGCTTGTGGATATCGAAGAAGAAAAGAAGCACCACCATTGGATGGTACTGATGTTAATGTTCGGCGAGTCAAACCAAGACTACAATGATTTAGCGAATAACATGTAACTCATCTTTTGATTGGTTGGAAAACTAATAAAGAGAGTAAGATAGCATTAGACATTCTTTGCACTTGTACCAACATTGGTGAATATTCGAAAATTTATAAGTTGATTTATACGAAGTTTGTGTATTGAGTTTGTTCATGATCTAAATGCCTCAATTCATGCTTTTATGTAGATTAAAATCTATCTGATAATCAAGCAACACAAATACACAATGACATGATACGTTCAAATGCATGTTTATCTAGGAATGTGACAATATCATCAAGACTAGTGCATGTTCCATTTTTCAGACCATATATTAGATGTCATTACAACTGAAGCATCATATAAATAACTGCAAGCCAAGTTGGAGGGTAAAGGGTGTTAACAAAGAATAAGAACATAATAAGTTGAGAACATAAATTGAGAGAACACTTTGCCTTCTGCTCAAGTCTGTAAGTTCACTTATCTTGTCAGTGATCTGGATCATAAAACCATGGGGTGAAGGATAGCAGACATAGTTTAATCTCTTCCAAATTAGTGCTATAAATTACAATTATAGCTTAACGTGTGTAGTTTATCTTTCTTAGCCAGCTCTGCTGGAGCATGTATAACATCGCTTCCTCACCCGATGAACTCCTAATTGCAAGGAAGAGCAATACAGGATTGGATTATCACCGGCATTTTTGTTAGCCATTAGTAGTTGATATTAGGTCAATACCACTGACTTCTGGATCCACCTTGGGCAGCAGCAACTTTCCTAGCCATGTACTGGGGTTTTGGCTGCAATTCATTTGAACTTTCAACTACTTCATCTTCTCCCCTGTCGTTTTTACGGACTGGATTTCTCTGTGGATATGCATATTGAGTTGGAACTATTGGGTTCCGGGCCATCCTTCGCTGTTCAAGAGCCTCACCTGCCGCTACTGCCCCACAATTGTTGTAACGCATTACCGATCCAACTACTTTCCCAGGTCTGGCAGCACCTGCTGTATTCATTATATAATAAGTTACAAGAAGCAGATGCAGTGTTTGGGAGACAGAACTTTGGGAGACGGAACAGACAAGATAATGAGCAGATCATTTTCACTTTAAAGTCCTAGCAAGATGCTTCCGGAAAATTGTAGGATATTTACTGTCTGCTATTTTAATCCATGCACTGGAACTTCCATAACAAAAGAAAGATTTAAATGTGTCACATGTAGGGGCTATTTATACCAGAGAATTAGATGAAATAAAGATCAAATGCCCTCTAAAATCAGAAGCATGACAGTTGTTATGACCATTTTTAATCTCAGTGAGATACAAGCATGGCAATAAATAGAGGAAGATATATATATATATATAAAGCAAAAATAAGTTTGGGAACCAATAAGACCAAATCTATATCCACTGAGAAAAACATTCATACCTTGGATGCTTTGAGGAACTTGAAGGGGAAGCCTTGACATGGGGATTGCAAAGCTTCTCTCTGCATGGGGTTTTTCAGTCTCCTTGATGGAACATTTAGACAAGTTATCTGTCACATCTGTTGAGTTTTGCACTGAATTATCTGAATATAATACACATGGCCTGCAAACATTTTCAACAGTGTACTGATCAGTATGAAAATACACAATATGGATAATGGAGAAATGTGTATTTCCTATGAAGATAACAAGGATGGGAATTGTAGTTTCCGATAGATGGTTTTGATAGGTGCTCATTTTAGTTCTACGAAGTATGACGAGATTGTGTACCTTTCCATGTTAAATAAATTATCTTGCCTTTCAAAAAATAATTGGTGAACATATGAAACTTTTAGAACCAGTGTTGTCAAAGCATACGCCTACTTGCTTGCACCTTAGCATTATACGAAAAAAGCATCTCAAACTTTTCAGGCATAGTGAATTTGACCAAGTACACATCTGGTATGTCAAGCCGCATGTTTTTGGTAAGGCAATAGGCAATATAATGGTTCTAGTAGCCTGCTGGTCCGGGGCCTCCAACTTTGATGGAATTGAAGGCTATCCTAAAGGGTTTAGATTTTTATGAATCTATTCGCCATAGGTTTAAAGATAGATTGATTATTGAGAGTGATAGTAAGGTGGCAATTGGCTGGGTTAAGGATGTTGTTTCATGTCCTGTCGTTTATGTTCAAATTGTTAAAGACATTATTCAAAAGCTTAGTGGTTATGAAGGTCTTATTAGATGGGTTAGTAGGACAGCCAATATAGAGGCGGATGTCCTAGCTAAGGCTGGTATTGGTTGATAATTATGTTCTGTTAAGGGCTGTTTCTTTCTGGTTTTGTATCTCTTGAGGGTGATTAGTTTGTATTACTTTGTAATTATTTGAGGTTAATGAAATCCTAGGGCACTCTTTTCCTCCTTTTACTGATTAAGGAACTATTTTCAAGTTCCGTTAATCATAAAGGGGGTTTTTAATGAGGCCTACTATTCCTATAAAAAAAATATAATGGTTCTAGTGCCTAGAGTGCCATTTGCCCCCTGGATATTGACAGACGCATGCAAATTAATTGATAACAGTACCTCGGTAAAGATGCATGTTGTCTCTCAAGTGGAGCTGCAGTGGTACCATTTCCATAGTGCTCCTCGAGGAAAGCAAACTGCTTCTTGAAATGGTCGACCGCACTGCATTCAGAAACACACAAGTGAGTGGTAACAACGTATTCATTTAGGAGATTCAGAATTGTAAAACAACAATCTTCAGAACAAGATGCATTCAATCAATCACGGCAGTATAACAAAATCATCGATCCCAGTTAAAATCTAATTTTGACTTCTAAGCACAGCCTAATTTATAGGAATATTTGTAAATGTGGGAATTTCAAAAAGAGGAATCCATTGATTCCAGGATAAGGATGGCATATTTGCAGCTTCATCCAAATGAGTGGAATCACCTATCATCAGTGGAGGTTTTGTATTCATTTCCTGTACATAATAGCTATATTCATTTGAAAGGAAATTTACCAAAATATCATAGACGAGTACCAAATGCCAAAGGCAAGAGTCTATTGATTCCAAACTTCAGATGGCACAAACAAATAGCATCTTCCCAACGAGTCGAACTGGGTTTCTTTCATTTCATGGATATAATAGCTAAAATTCTCTTTTAAAGAGAAGATATATCGAGCAACAGAAATCTTTTAACACTGAAGAACATGGAAAAGACTGCCTTCATAGCACAGCACAAATAAACCAAGGCTGGTTGGAAAAAAATACTAAGTTCTCTTTTAAAGAGAAGCAATACCGAGCAACAGAAATCTTTTAACACTGAAGAACATGGGAAAGACTTCAGTCATAGCAGAAAAAATAAAATCAAGGCTGGATGGCAAAAGTACCAAGTATAGAACCCTAAAACGAATAATGGTTTCATAAGATGACATATAATAGTCAAAGATGTGAGAAAAATAGTTAGTTCAGAACAATACCTAGGATACATGAAGCCAGTTGGCTCTGATCCTTCCAAATACTCTTTCAACATTTTAGGATGGTACTCAAGTATTTCCCGGTATATGAGTTCCCTAACATCTTCCTTTGTAATCCTACGCCTCTCGAATTCAAATTCCATCTTGGTAACCGGTTGAGCAGAAGGCTCCCTTTCAACTTTGGCCAAGCCCTTAAAATATGGATCAGCAAGGGCCTGCCAGCAAGGAACGAAATATCCATGTTAGAAGGAGACCGTACATTAAATAAAAGTTGATGAAAAGAAACAAAGGTATACCTCTTCAGCAGTAGGCCGATCCTTGGGTTCAAAGGCAAGCATCCTTTCTAACAAACGAACTGCAAGAGGATCTGCATTAGGGAATTTCTGGGAAAGTGGAATCGGCTTTTTCTTTCGCATGCTGCTCAAGTATCTCCGAGCTTTCTCATTACGTACCTGCTCAGATGATATCCTTATCTTATCACAACTGATTCCAAGTAGCTTTGGCTTAAAATAGAACACTGTAAACAAATGAAAATGGATGCCAACATACCCTAGCAATGGCTTCAGCAGACGGTGTTCCCAAAAGATCAGTCATCAGATCCAATTGGTGGACAACATTTTTTCCAGGAAACAAAGGTTTTCCTGTTAAAAGTTCAGCAAAGATGCACCCGATGCTCCATATATCTATTGCTGGAGTATACTGAACGTAGAAGGGAAGAAAAAACTAAATGTGAATATAAGCATAAAAGCTTATGGCACATTTAGAGACGGAAAAACACCATTTACTTGTAACAGAAGCTAGATACATGCTAGAGAAATAACATATGAGAAAAATCCCTATGCCAAAGCATCTGCAGATGTCAACTAAGCTTGTGGCACAAAGTATAGCATTAAAACAGCTTTGGCAAAAGTGAGTGGTCACACTGCCAAATTTAGAAAATGAAAACTAAAACATCACATCAACCAATAAACAAGAATGAGGGAGAAAAGATCAAGCTACTTTCAATCAAATAAAATGTACAAACAATTTTGCACCTTGGAGAAAAAGGATCCACACAATTCTGGAGCCCTGTACCATCTTGTTGCGACATAGTCCTATAAAGGAAAAAGGGGAATTTTTTTATTCAGAAAACAAGAAACAAGCTTCTGTTTTTGCATATTATATGTAAACTATTTCCTGAATGCAGCATCATGTAAAGAGCACCAACCGTCCAGAATATCGCAGTGGGGGTATCGTTAAAAGCTACTCTTGCAAGTCCAAAATCGCAGATTTTCAGTTTGCAATCAGCATTGGCTAAGATATTTTTAGGCTTTAGATCCCGGTGAAAAACATTTGCTACAAGAACAGAAAATATTTAAAACAAGGATATCAGAAGCAACCAACAAGAGCTTGAAATTGCATGATATCTATGCATTTCCGAATCGTTATCTACATTCAAACAAGAAGAATCAAAACAACAGTCTAGAAGAACAACCTGTGTGAATGTATTTCAGGCCTCGCAGGAGCTGATACAGAAAAAACTGGTAGTGTTCGGGAGTTAAATCATCATTTGCTTTGATGACCTGGTGTAAATCAGATTCCATAAGTTCAAATACCACATATATATCTTTAAACTCCCTTCTCGACGGAGGCAACAAGATGTGCTTGATCTCAACGATGTCTGGATGACGTAGGAGCCTGAGAAGTTTAATCTCTCTGAGGATCCGGGTAGCATCAGATACATGTTCGAATATATCATTGATTTTCTTAATTGCAACCTTTTCTCCAGTATGCGTGTCATACGCAGAACAAACAACACCATAGCTTCCTTTTCCAATTACTTCCTCTATCCTATATCTGCTCCCCTCACCATATTCGGTGAAAAAATCTACATCCGCCGCTGACTGCATAGTGAAGGCGAAACATATAGCATGATCAATGATATATTGAATAATAAATACAACTCCCAAAAAAAGGACAATATGAATCAACCACAACAATGACATGACGGACAATTTCAAGGAAAAACAAATTTATTAGCCTGCAAGAAACTTTGTTTCTAAAACAAGGGCACTTCAAGAATTTGCAAAAATCAGAAGCAAACAAATAAAAAAACCAAAAGTAAACTGTAACATATAACTTCTGTTAGTCAACCTCCAGAACATGAGAAAGAATAACAGAAATCCTAATCAACCTACAGAAGATGAGACATGTGGCAAGGTGTCCTCCCCAGTCAATATACAGAGCACCTATTAGCAATCAAGTCAACCGTTTAATAACTTAAAATACATAAATTATAGTGATCATAGGAGGCAGATTCATTGACTAATATAATCCAAGCAAGGCAGATATAGTTTCTTCCAATTAGCACATACAATTATATTTATAAATCACTTCATTAGATCTTACATACAAGTAAACATAGAAACTACAAAAAAAATTACCTTTCTTCTCTGATCAGGCTGCATCTTCGCATCAAAACTTTGGCATCAAACAGGAAGCTCCAAAGTAGGAGGAGAAGCTAATTTCACTTTGCAGTTAAACCCCAAATCAAAAGATCACAAAATACTAAAGCTCCAGTAATGGCAAGACCAAAATCCTAGAAAAGGAAAAATACCCCGAAGTCAAAATACCCAGAAGTCAAAACAGCTCCAAAAAGTAAAGTATTAACCCCAAACATCAAGATCAACAACAACAACAACGAAAAACAACCTTACCCAAAAATCTCCAAAGAAATGGTTTCGAGAGCAGAAGCTCAAGTTCAAACAAAACTCAATATCCAGCTAGTTCAAGATTCTGAAGCTAAAGTTAACAGCTTTTGCTAATAACAGAGTAGAAATTTTGAAGAAAAAATCGTTTTTTTTCCAAAGGCCAAGAAACATTATAAGGCCAAAAGATTTTGGCTTTTGGCAGATGAGACTAAAAACAATTTGAGCTGGAAAATGAGAGTCACTTGGTGAAGAATCTAAACGAGGCGATTAACCCTATGAAAACAACAGCAACAACAAAATTGAATTATCAAGTTTTATTAAAGATAAATAGATAAAGGCTGAGTGTTTTTTTTTCTTATTTGTTTTTTAGGAAAATGCTTTCGACCTCAAAATGAAAGAGAGAGAAGATTAGAAGGGACAGATCAAAGAAGAAGAAGGGAAAATCTATGAGAGTTGTGCTTCAACTTGAAGGGCCCAATTGGAATTATATAATTCGGAAATATTACAATTAAAGCAAATAAAAGTGGGATTTAAAAGGATAACATAATCATTTTCATATTAAATTCCACTTTTGCCACTCATGTTTGTTAATATTTTCAATTTTCTTTTCGCCTTTTGTTCATAATTAGTAGTATCTTTTTAGATTTTAAGTTTAGATTTCATTGCATTTATATTTAATTTAGTTTAAATCTATTTATGTGAGAATTTTGTTTGGATTTATTTAGATTTAGATTTAAATATATCTTAATTTTTAATTATATTTTAAATTATAATTTTAAATATAATTATTCAAATATTATATCATATTTATTAAAAAGTTATGTATTCTTTTCTATTTTTTAAAAAATTGAAAGATGTTTGTTGATAGTATATTTAATTATGATTCTATTTTATAATTCATAATATTTTTAAAATTCAATTTAATTAATGTAAGAGTAAATATTACACTTTAGACCATAAAATTACCAAACCACGCTTATGATGATCAGAATAGGAACAGATATTGTTGAATCATAGAATCATAACTAAATACACTACCAACCAACATTTTTCAATTTTTGAAAAAACATAAAATAATATTTTTTTAATAAATATTTTAAAATTATAATTATAATATACAATTGAATTGACAATCAAATATATTTAAATCTAAACTCAAAAAATCCAAACAAAACTCACACATAAATAAATTTAAACTAAATTAAATTTAAACTTAAACTTAAAATCTAAAAAAACATTAATCATGAACAAAAGGCAAATTGAAAATATTACCAAAGATGAGTTGCAAAACTATAATTAATTTATCTAACCTATAATCATGTCTCATCATTTAACCCTTCTATAATTATTTTGGCTTAATATCAGTTTTCTCCTAAAATTTTAGCTTAATTCTTAATTTATCCTTAAGAATTATCATTTTTCTCGATTTGTCCATAAGAATTATCACTTTTTCTATTTATACCTCAATCTAATTCTCAAATTGCCCCTAAAAATTTAATTGTAGTATTTCAAATCTACTATATAGATTACAATAATTAAACTACTCATAGCTCATTATTCCTAAATCGAAGATAATTGTACTCAAACACATTAAAATTTATAAATTTTTATTTATTATAATGACAACGATACAACTGAATTAATTATCGATTAACATAGATTTTTATCCAAATATCATTCTTTAAAATATGATTTCTCTAAATAACACTCATTTTAGATTAATTTTTGAATTGACACGTAAGATAAATGTGTTATATGTTAGTAGTACCTTTGAAAGACACTTTTCATAGAGCCTGTCCTTATTCTATGACATCTCATTTAACAGTTTTTTTCCCCGTAAACAGTGATGTTGATCAAACACACCTTTTAGAGGGTTATATTATAAAATAAAAAAAATAAAATTATTATAATATTGATAGAAATTATAATAATTAAAAGTACTATTATAATAAAATTACAATATTGATGAAAAATAAAAATAAATAAAAATCGTATTACCAATGACTTCTTTATATATGAGTCCTATAGTGCGATGGTTGTACGTTTTACATGTGATTTCTTTATATTAATTATTTTTCAGCAAGATCATCATCTTCATTATTTTTGTTATCTTAATCAACATTATGTCCAACGTTATTGATATTAACATGTGTTATTGATACTATCGCTGATGAATAACGTGTGAAGAACATCGAATGTGGATGCATTTGATCAACAATCTCATTATTGAATCAAATCTATGAAAAATACGAGTTAATCATATTTTTATTTGAATAATGTATTTTAAAGATTTATTTACAGAATACATCTTTACTTACATTCTAAAAATAATATTATTACAATGATCAATTTAGAATGAATATTAGAATGAGAAATAATTTTTTATTACATTAAAAAGAAGCCATCAACCTATGGTTTTTTGATTTTTAATATCGGGGATTATTATTATTTTATTAAACCGTCTTTTGTGTTTTTAAATGGGATGCTAAGCTAAGTCGCAAAGAAGAGCACGTGGTGTGTTTTCTGGGCCACGCAATTCAACGACGTGGTTATCAATGAAATGGCTACTACTTACAGCTCAATGCCTCTCCCTATCCAAACATACTTTTTATTTTATTTCCCTACGCCTGTCTAAGGTATTAAAAAAATAAAAAAAGAAGCTCTTTTTATTTTTTCCGGAAATATTTACAATTAATATTTAATAATAAAAATAATGTTTTACTTAAACTAATAATAAAAAATATAATTACTAGTATAAAATAATTTTCTGATGTCGTACACTTGATTTTGACTGATAAATCTTCTAACGGAGATTATATCAAATTAGTTTTTAAAAATATTTATTTTGAAAAGTTTAATTTTGTCTGTCCCCAAATCAAACATTTATCCATATCAAATGGCCTATAAGACGATGGCACCTTTAGATATAATGTGTATTAATCAAATGTTTGGTTTATGAAATATAATATTTTTGGGAATATAATTTTTAGAACGTAATATTATTTGATATTGTAATACCCCCAATCCGTACTCGACTCGAATACGAGTCTGAGATGTCACATTGACTTTTCAAACTTTGACTCTTGACAAAATTCAAAGAAAATTTAAAACTTTCATTAAAATAAAAGCGATTTATTTACATAAATTGACAAAAATAATCAAAATTGATTAGAGCATATTCAACTCAATCAATTAGTAAATGCCAACTATATTCAAATTAACCAAACACATTTAAATCATCTATTTTCTGATCTGAAATTTTGTAAGGGAGATGCTGACATGTCTTACTCTTCTTCGCTTCTCTTTTCGCTTCTTTAACCTACGTGTGAAACAATTACACGCTAAGTCTAGGACTTAGTGAGGCATTAAATTTATAAAGGAAACTCTAAATGCTTAAACATGTATGAACATATTACTTCATGATGTCACACAATCATTATATATAATATAATGTACACATATACACATCACACATTATTTCCATCATTGATCCTATTCTATTATCCACATTATTATCATTTATATCTTTTAATCATACTTTTCATCAACATATGACTCATTCAAACTATACGCACATCATCATAACAATCATATAATATAGTTCATATCACAAAAACATATACTTCACCAGTACCATCTTCATTGTTATCTCTTTGTTTAGCCCATGTACACTTTTGAGAACTATATATATGTGAGTCTATTGAGGTTGTACACTAATGTTGTCGCCACAGCTCGTATAAATGCACCGAAGTGCCACATAGAATTGCATCGAAGTGCCGCGTAGAATTGCACCGAAGTGGCATATAAAATATCCCTAAGGACCTCGTAGAAAATTCCTTAAGAATCATATACATATATAAATGATCAAGTATGTGTCTCAAAAGACATCACACATGTTCCAAGGAATACATATATGTCCCGAAGGACCGTGTAGACCCTCGACTCTTGGCATGCCAACTATATCCCTAGCTCTCATGACACATAACATGGGCATTATTATTTATGTCATTTCACGTATTCACATAGACACATAATTCACTTTCACCTTTCACGTATCTTAGGTCACATAATTTGGATCACATATACATATAATCACGTAGATCACTTTTACACAACTTATATTAACTTTACACGTCATTTCACATTTCTTATCACCTTGCTTATATCTTATTCTTATGTCTTCTCATAGACATATATTCACATGTTCATATAGTTCACCATCTCATCATATAAATATGCACTCATTTCATTTCACATATAGTCTCATAATTTATCCTAGTATAAATCATATAACATTATTCCAACTCATAGTCATATATATATATATATATCATTTTACCTATACTTATATTCACATGGTTTATGTTCTTATTCTCATAATCACATATATCATATTTAATAACTTATACAATCTCATATAGCTTAAGCTTCATTCTATTATATTTACCTATATCATGTAATCTATGACATACTTATAAACATGTATCACTTCTATCATTTCATATATATATATTAATCTAATCTATTTACTTAGTTCAATTTCATATACCTTATATGTCATAATTTTATTCAAGTACAAGAGTTTTCCCCTTATAGCTTATCTTATATGTTCGTATTATCACTTATGTTCAAGCTTCCTAATTAATATACTATTCTCATTTCATTCTATGGTCAATCTTATTTAGCTTTTCTCAATTCTTATTAAATCATATAATTCTATTATACTAATGCATATAAATGATCACCTAACTATGTACTTACCCAATTCATGTTTCTATTGTCCATATAACTTTTATACATGCTTACCCAGTTCATATCGCTTCTCATAAACTCACTTATATCATATTCTCCTATTTTTACCTAATCTATCTTATAGACATGTATTCACATAGTCTGTAACCCCCTCAGACTGATGCGAATAGCCCGATCCGATCTGGAGTGTCACATTAGGGCCACCGGAGTGACCCACCGTAGAAATAGTAAAAAATTTAAAAATTTTCTTAAAACATGTAAAATCATAAAATGATTTATTATTTTTCAGAAATAAAACAGGTTTATCAGACTCTGATATAAAAACAAAATACAATCTACATGCCCCCTAATCACATGTACCATACTCTGCAAACAATGCCGGAAGAGCTCCCTTACTGAATTCGATAGATGCATTGGTATAATTCTTTTAACCTGCAATGGTGAGTAATAGAGCGAGCTTCGGAAAGCTAAGTAATACAGAACTATCAGATGATGCTACATGACATGCAGATAAATGGGAAGCCATAATTTCCTTATTGAATCCAACGTATACCAATTGCGGAATAATATGGGGTTCCATTAGTAGTTCATCGAGTAGAAGCCATGAATCTCAGTTCATAAGAAACCTTTCATAAT